TCCGGACTGGTGTCCTCACTGCCGGGGCAGCTCCCACAGCTTTCAGCCAGATGTGCTTGGCTGGGGTGCTGGGTGCTCGCTGGGGCTGCGTGAAGGATGTTTCACCCATGAGAGCTTGTGCACCAGGGACAGCAGCTCCTTGACGGGGCTGGCACGGTGCTGGCAGCTGCCCCGAGCAGCCGAGGTGTGGGCAGTGCCAGGCTGGCACCATCCCCTTGCAGCTCAAGAAATGCCCCCCTGGAGATCCACATGCACAGGGTGCTCAGCCCCAGCCCCTCAGGGGGCTCCAGCCCCGCATGGATGAGCCGTTGGTGTTGGCAGTTCCAGGGCCAGGTGAGAGGATGCTTGGGATGCAGGTTCTGGCCAGGCACGGACCCATCCTCACCCAGCTCTGGCCAGCCTGGCCCAGCACCTCCCCGGGCCTGGCACCGCACACGTACCGAACGAGTATTCTCTGCCTGGCAACAGTCTGGCAAGTTTAGGTACATGGATGCTTTTATAAACCCTCCTGGGCCAGCTGCAAAGCACATTCAGCTGACCCAGAAATTGGAGGTGGGGGGCAAAATCCTTCCCCAAGGCACAGCCAAGCTGCAAAACCACTGTCCTGCCCCACACGGGGCTTGCGAAGGCGGGAATGCCCACTGGTGATGCTCCCTGGCACCCCCCCTCCTGCAGCATCCTTTGCCTGCACTGAGGAAGAGGAGGAGGTATCTGCAGTCCCCCTCCTCGGGCCAGGGGACTCAAGAGCCGCCCCAGCAGCGCCACTCGGAGCTCTGCCACGTTTTGGTGGCATTTGGTATTTCGAGCGAAGAGAAGGAGGCTCCATTGTTCCTCTTTTATTGTTTTGTGTTTCCTAAGTGGGACAAGCACCCTCCTCCCACACTCAGCCCGGCTGCGGAGCTGATCCAGCCCTTTGAACCCCAACGCTGCAGCAAAGGCAGCGAGGAATACCCCCGCTCCCTGGCACGGGCTGGCACCGGCAGCACGCGTAGGGACGAGGAGTGGCCGGAAC